TAGGAGAGTGCACAGGGGATAGGTGGGCCCTGATTTTCTCTTGCTGCCCCTGGGCTTTGTTACCCAGTATGTTGCATTGCACATAGTAGGTGCTCAGTACATTTTGCTGAATGCCTGCTAAATAGCTGGTTGCTCTCTCCTATTGCTTTCCCTCTCCTTTCCTCTCATAAATACTCCTCTGACCCTCTGACCTTGTTCTTTCCAGAACCTCTCTTCCATCTTAAAAGTTAGTGGGAAAATGGGGCTTAATGTATGTATTTTTACTTCATAGTCAGCTTAGCTAAAATGCAGCTATTCTGAATAACTTTATTGTTTCCTTTTAGAGACTTTACTTCAGGTCAGGATTAAAAAATGCTGGCTAGGATTCTGGAAGAGGAACTTGAACTATTGATGCAATTGTGTCCCTATTCTGAGTGATAAACAGAAGGCTTAATTTTCCTGATCTGTGGTTTATCATCATTCCCTAGTGCTAAATTAATTTAGGTTTTTTTTTTTAACCTCAACTTGTTAAATATTGTTAAAGAAAACTCAGAGGCAAGCAAGCATTCTATTTGCTTAGTTGTTTGCTTTGACTCATTTGAACAAGGAAAGTTCTTAACATTTGGTAGATTTGGGTAAACTAGAAAAGACAGAATAATGCTAGGTAAACATAGAGAAAACGATAGTTTTGGGGGGCACATCAAACATCCTCATTTCCAAAGTGAAGGTTCTTTTTTAGGTTTGTATAATTGAACTATTTTGAATTGATTAGCATAATAATTATTAAAATGTATTGATTATAAATAGTTAGTAAGAGATCCTTTTCTTATTTAGAAACACGTTGGAGAATTTATCTGGGTCCGGTGAACTCAACGTTAAGATTCAAAGGTAGTACTGTGTAGTGGATAGAATCCTGAATTCAGATGCAGGAAGACTTGGGTTTGAATCCTGCCTCTGATGCTTTCTTGAATTGTGATCACAGGCAAGTCTCTTAACCTCTCTGAGACTTTCCTTAACCATAAAATGGGTATAATAGTTTGTGGTACCTAACTCACAGGGTTGTTGTGAGTTGCAGATGAGATAGCATGTAAAAAGCTTTGCAAACCTTATGGTGCTAAGTAAATATCAGATATTAACTCCTTCTCTTCCTGGTCTTCTGTGATGTCCTTCCTTTGAACTCCTGGTGTTCTAGCTTTGCATATGATGATTTGTGTCAGAACTCACCCTTTGGGCTCCTGTGGCACCAGCACTCCTTGGCTGTGGCCAGGGGAGGCCTTTGTACAACTCCCAGATGTTGCGAAGTTAGTTCTGTATTGTGCTGAGGAGTAAGTTGGTACAGTAGGTCCTCTTCTAATTGGTTGTCTCTGGTATGGCTTTGTGGTCACTGCCAGCTCTAAAGAGCTTGACAGAATTCCACAAAACCGGTGATAGAGGTCTTTCCTTCCTTTATCTTCATGGAAGTGATTGTGTTTAAAATTCACCCAGTATTTACTAAGTGCCTATAATATGTAAAACCCTGGGGATAGAAAGACAAAAATTGAAACATTTCTTGCCCTCTAGAAAATTACATTCTACTGGGATGAGGGGTTGTACATATGCCTCTGTAAGGAAATATAAAGTAATTTCAAAAGAAAGTTGTAGGTAGAAAGGCCAGAAGTGAGTACTTAATTTTATCAGATACTATGTCCCTTTTTAGAGGTTCTAGTAGTACACGTAGATAACCAAATTCATAATTCAGTTAAATTCAGCTAATATTTGTTAAATGTTTACTCTGTGCAAGGTGCACTGTGCTGGGTACAATAGATGAAAAGATAAAATCTCTATTTTTATTTTTGGGGAACTTATATTCCCTTTGGGAAGGAATATGGCATGTATGCAAATAAGGAAAGGTGAAGTAATTCAAAGCAGTTTCAAGAGGGAGAGAACTAACAACTTTGGGGAGAGGAATCAGAAGACCTCCAGTAGGAGTAAACACTTGAGCTGTTTATTATACAGGGAAAAAGTGAGGAGAGAATGCATTTCTGATTTGTGCAAAGGCATGCAGATGGAAGAAGGAATGCCTTGTAGGGGAACAGCTAGCCTACCTTGTGGAGACTTTCTTTGAAGACCTCCCAAACTGGATCTGATTGTTCTAAATGAACCTTTTGGCTTTTCGTATAAATGTGAATACTGCCTTGTCTAAAGTGAATTTTATAATTTATAAACTTTGAACATATCTCCTGATACCTTATCTTTGGTCCCTATTGACATTTCTGGAGATACTAAGTAGATAGTTGTATTTTATGTCCCATATGGTTTAGATAGCCTTTTTGCCTTTCTTTTTGTGATACTACTACATTAGCTGGAGTTGGGATCATTGCCCTCAGTAAGTGATGGAAAGATTGGAGAATGATGCTTTTTCTCAAAGGAAAAAAAGAATTTACAAAACACTTTTTGAATTAGCTATGAAATGAGTACATTTTGGTGGTCCTACTTTAAAATTTATACTAGTGAACTGTAAAAGGTGTTTTTTTTTAAAGTCTTGTAAATATTTAGGTATGCTTTTGATGCCTTGACACATTCATTCAGCAGAGCTTGGGATTCTTAATGGGTTACTAAGGGAAATGAGGATACTTCACAGGTGGAGGACAACTATGCTTTTCTATAGAAATGAATGTCTGGTGCCTCTGAGAGAGAATACTGGTAGTTGGTAAGGAGAGCCCTTGGTAAACTGTTAAGTACTAGAGAAATGGACAGCTTGGGAGTTGTTATTATCAACAGAATCAGTTTTAAAAAAGACTTGTCATTAGATGACAATATTTCAGTAGTTCCTTTTCTTTGGCATGGATTACTTTTGCCAATGCTGACTCTAAGTGCTTTATGAATGAATAGATGACCTTTGAAATGCTCTGGTCAAAAACTATCACTTTGTCCTATAGCTAACCTTGTTATGCATGTTTCTTAACTTAATTGGGCTGCTTCTTGAACAGTGGACATACAGTCCCCTGCTGTGTCTAAACTCCAAACCAGGGGTGGGGAACCTTTCTGTTGGGCTGGACCTACCAGGGCTTCCACTATTCTGAGGTGACAGGGTTTTTTTTTTTTTTCTTTCACACCAGTATGAAGCATTGGAGTGCAGTTTTAGTGTAGAATTTAACTGTAACATGGAATTCAAGTGTATTTTAAAATATATCTCATATTTATTAGATAAAGTAGGGATAAAAAAACCCCCTACTAGATGGACCATAGGTCTGACCTAGGCATGATTTTTTTTTCTTTTGCTAGGCAATGATGTCAAGTGACTTGCCCAGGATCACACAGCTAGTAAGTGTTAAGTGTCTGAGGCTGAATTTGAACTCAGATCCTCCTGACTCCAAGGCCAGAGCTCTATCCACTGTGCCACCTAGCTGCCCCTGAATGTTTTTTTATGTTGAATTTCAGAGTGAAAAAAATTCTTGTTATAGAGAACAGAATATTATTTTGACTTTGTTTTTATTTTAACAATAATTCCTCTTGAGAGGTTTATTCATTCAGGAAACATTTGCTATAGACTAACATTGCTCTAGGGGCTGAAGGTCAGGACTTGTAGCAGTAGTTGGAACCTGAAAGTGCTGGCTGTCAGTGGATGGAGGAGATACCTGTAAAACACAGTCATGAGAACTATAAAAGCTTGGCATTCTGGGGTTATTTAGTGTGGGGCAGGCATGTGTGCATAGTCATATTATGCAGTAATAGTCACAGAATCTCAGAATTAGAAGGTAATATGAGGCTATATGCACTAACGTCTGTCTGAACCAGGAATCTCTTCTAGCCTCCCCTGGAAGGCCACCAGTGACAGGGGGCTTGCTATCTTTTGTTTCAGGCCACCCTCCTTTGAATAGCTCTAATTACATTGTTCCTCAATTTGAACCTAAATCTCGCTTTCTGCAGCTAATACCCAGTGTTTCTAGTTCTGTCCTTTGAGGCCAAGCTGAGCAAGTCTCTCCTATGTGACATCCCTTCAAATACTTGAAGATACTTGTTAGCATGTGCCTTCCTGGAGAAGAGAAGTCTTCTTTTCTCCAAGTTTTTAACTTACCACCAGACTATCTTGGGGTGATGATGCTTTTAGCCTTAATAGCTCTTGAATATGGTCTGTTATGTCATAGAGGAGTTGAGATCTGTGTTGGTAAACAGTTATAAAAAGACTAGGCCTTGAAGTATTGAACTATAAGGCAAAAATGAAATGTTTATATTCTTTAACAGTTAGCTCTTCCTATCCTTGCTGCATCTTCCTTGCAAATATAGATACTTTGTAAATAGTTATTGAATTATGAATCTTTGTTAAAAATGTGCAGAAGTCCCAGACCATTGATGATATTGTGATTAATATCTAGAAAGGGTAGTATATTTCATCATTAAAACAAATCATTTTAAATTCACCTTAGAGTACTCCCTTAGTGAATTAATTAAACATTACTTCCTAGGTGATAAGTGATTTAATATACAATTACTTTCTGTGTAGGCATTTTAGAACATGTTATAAGCTGTTTTGTGCTTTGCACTGGCTACTTTTTGACTTCTGAGTTCAGTTCCAGGTGTTGAACTCAATCTGTAAACCTCAAATAGTTTGTGCCTAGGGTTACCGAAACCAAAACAAACAATTGGTCATAGCGTGACATCAGTAAAAAGCACCTGGCTTTTAAGATAAAATACCTGCCAAGCAGGTCAAATACCATCTGGCTGGCAATCTTATTTGTGCTCCAATTATCCTAAAGGTTACCATTTCCCTCTTTGGTGTAGCTGTCCTGATGTGGAGGGTTCAGATATATACCTCATTTTCTTTGACTTCGTGTAGATGCCTTAATTTTGTATGTTTTTCAGTGTTATTAGAGTAACATTTAAGTTTCTTAGATTAAAGAGGCACTTTGTGAAAACACTGTTTTTATTTCTAGTGCACCTTTTCACATTGTTTTGGTTGACGGTTTGTGTACGTAAAAAAGAATAGAGCTGTGTTTAGGGTAATTCTTTTTGGAGTGCTCCTAATACTCCTCCTTTGCCAGGTGTGTTCCTGCAGTACAGCCTAGGACAAGCCCCGTGCTGTCTGCCTGCCCCTCGGGTGCGGGTTCTAGCAGAAGACTGGAGTGTTAGATCTGCTGTTGCCACTGGAAAAATAGTCACTGCATTCTCATCTCGGCACTTCCTGATGGGTATGTAGTAGCTGTTGTCTTGTGTCTAAACATCTGAATGGAGAACTTTCTCTCCTTTCTCACAAAACTGTACTGAAAGTTGCTGTTATCTACTTTTCTAGTTTGTTCTGCTGTTCAGACCTCAGCCCCCTATGTCTGATGTGGCGCAGATCACCCTGTGAGGACAAATACTGCCCTTGCTCCATGACTTGGGCTGGGATGATTTGACTGGTCAGTGACTCAGAGGAACAGCAGGAGTCCGAGAAGGGGGAGGAGGCTCTGTTAGCTGGTGTTTTAAAAAAAAAAAAAAGAACTGAAATTCATCCTGTCAATTCTGCTATTTAGACCCAGGCAAATGGGGAGGGACTAGTCTTCCTCCTTCTTTATGTTGCCTTTTTGGACTTTTTTTCCCCTTGAAGGGGATAACAATTTAAATCTGGATGAGGGGCAGGCAGCTCTGGCTAGAGAGAACTACATTTAAGCCCAGTTTCTGACATACAGGTTGCATGACCCCAGGCAAGTCACTTAACCTCAGAGTCCTTCATCACCTTGTTTCAGTCAGATCAAACTGAAACCCCATTTGGGGTTTTCTTGGAGTGGTTTGCCATTTCCTCTCAAGTTCATCCTACAGATGAGGAACTGAGGCAAACAGGGTGAGGTCACTTGCCCAGGGTCACACAGCTACTAAGTGTCTGAGGCTAGATTTGGACTCAGAAGACAAGTCGTCCTGACTCCAGGCCTAGCACTATCCACTGTACCACCTAGCTGCTCCTTAGAATGCTTAGATTTAGATAAAGTGCCAGTTGGTGTTGGTCGAGAGAGTTTCCTCACCAAGGACTTCCCTATGTCCCTGAAATTACAGTTAGCTGTCCCTCTATCTGTTGGATGGATATGTGGGAAGGCAGTGGGGTGTGATGATAGGAAGGAGGCCTGCCTTGGGAGCCAGGAATCTGAATTCAGATAATGACCACATCAGTTACTCACCCTTCATTTCAACATCTTTAAAATGGTGATGATGTACTTGTGCCACTGGACTCCTAAGGTTGTTGAGAAGAAAGCATATTGTAAACTTTGAAGATACAGAAACATGTTATTTTTGCCCATGTCTTCTATCTCCATGTAGGCCCCTTCTTCCCAGCGTGGTTTGAATCTTATATTTCCCTAAAGATAGCCTTGTGGACAGCCATTAATAGAATTATAGGTAAATGAGACAGATTACTTTAGAAAGGAAGATATAGTTCTATAATCTGTTTTGTTAAATTTGTACAAGAGACAATGATGCATTCTAGGCAAAACTGGTGCAGTAACAGTACTATGAATTCTGGGTTATGTTCTAAGTTTTGATTAGTTATATTATGTGTAATAGATGACTAATGGATTTCAAGGAAGTAATTTAACTGATGACACAAAATATCATGTCATCGAAATTCTTCAAATGTATTACTTCTAATTTGTAAAAATAGTCCTTTGCAATTCATTGTGGCCTCTTCTGACCTTTATTTAACAAAATATGTGGATCCCCAATTGGCTTTAAAAGGTAATATCAAGAAAGTTAGGTCTTCATCGTTGTTCAAAGGAACTCTGCAGGTCCATTTTGTCATGTTTCTGCTCTGCAAAATAACCTATAGAGTCTTCTTATTGCCTACCAAATAATTCTTTCTCTCATATATTTGTTGAATACCTTCTTAGGGGCAGGTCATTGTGTCTGTAACAGAGTTACCACTTGTTGATTAATTAAAGTTTTGAGGGATATGAAGATGAGTAAAAATGGCCTCTACCCTCACTAAGTTTACATTCTGGTTGGGGAAGTGAAAAGTCCACAGATAATTCAAATATGAGGTAGAATCTAATTAGTAATTTAAGAGGGAAAGGAGCTATGGGAATTCAGAGGATAGAACTCTTTAGACTGGGAGTTTTAGGGAAGGCTTCATGGAGTAGGGGGTGACAAAATGAAAAAGAAATCTAAAGATGCTTATGCTTGAACGGGGCCCATACTTACAGGATGGGTATGAGTGGAATTGGCTTTAGAGGCTCTCTCCTGTCTGACCCAACCTTCTCATGCCACTTTCTCAGTGCTCCTGAAAAATGTGCCCTCCATGTTTGTCTGCCAGATGACTTCGCTTATTGCCTCAGGGTCAGGCACATGTTTTTGGCACCATGCTCTCCCACCAGCTGGTGGACTGGCTCCCTCTTAGATTGTGATATGATACTTTTAAAAGTTAAGTGAATATGGAGGGAAACCAGAGAATCTTTTATGTAACCTTCTTATTTTGTAAAGGTCAGATGACTACACAAAAGGGAATTAAATTTATTACTTTTTATTAAATGATTTTTTGGTACATGCTCCAAGGACCAGCCGGAGGTTTGTCTCTTCCATGAAGTCTTCTCAGATTATTCCAGTTTACAGTGACTTCTGTTTCTGAACTTCTTTAGCACTGGAATGTGTGGTACACAATTTGAGCCTTTATTCTCTGCTGTTCTCTAATTATTTTATGTGTTTTTTTCTGTCTTCTCAGCTACCATTGAGGGTCTTTCTGTGACCTTTTCATTTAGTCACTATTTCCAGCAATGTGTTGGGTACATGCAGGTGTTTAGTAAGCGAGTGGTCAGTTGATTTTAGTGAGTGTTACAGGTCGTCTTCCCCCCCCCCCCCCCCCCAAAAAAGAGAAAAAAAGCATTCTTTTCCTCTTCAGATAGTCCTGGAGCACTTTGTCTGAATCCAGAACAATCACTTCCTTATAGCTGGTGCTTAATAAATGTCTTGATTGTGTTTCTGTTTCTGTTTCTTTTTCATTTTTTTGTTTTTTTTGGCTAGGCAATGGGGTTAAGTGACTTGCCTGGGGTCACATAGCTAGTAAGTGTTATGTGTCTGAGACTGGATTTGAATTCAGGTCCTCCTGACTCCAGGGCTGGTGCTCTATCCACCTAGCTGCCCCCTTGATTTATATTTCTTTCCTATTTTTCCTGTACCTAGCTTTCTTGGGTAGTTTGAAAAACCAAAATGTATATTATTAATTGAAAGACTTATTTAGATGATCAGGTTGATTCATAGAATCACAAAATCATAGGATTTTAGAGCAAGAATAGATGTTAGAGGTCATCTCATCTAATTTACTCATTTAATACATGAAAAATCTTGAGCTTGAGAGAGAAGTGAATGACCCCCAGCCCCTGTGCCTTGGAAGTATCATTGCTACCACTGGAACTCAAGGACTTCTTTTTGGCCCAAACTTCTTTTGTCCCCCATTGCCTGAGCACAAATGTATTATGTCTGCTTAGTTGATTTGTAGAATTTAACTTCAATATTAGATTGATAGTTATGGTTGTATTTTTAAAATATGATGTGATAAATATGATTGTATTACTGATAAGTGCTATGAGGATTTTTTTTTTGGGGGGGGAGGTAAGTAGTGACTTTACTGATGCTGAGGGGTCTCTTCTGGGGTATTTCAAATGGGCTCTTTACTAGCCTAATCTGAAAAGAATTTTATGTATCATGGTGATTGTAGTGTTTTATTTCTGTGGGCTAAAACACTTGTATAATTTCTTATGCCATTCAGTTCTCAGGTTTAGTAGTAGCAGGAAAAATGTTGGAGGAATATTGCCAATGAACTGTGATAGCTTTTAGATTTTCAGTTTTGCTACCTGGAATCTTTCACCATTGTTTTTACCAAGTTAATCAGATTTCAAGGGAGGAATTGTAAAAGTTTCTTTTAGTAAGCCACGTACCAAAATGCTCCATTGTGCAGTTGTGATTGGTAAAGCTTCTGTTAAAAGACCACTGTGAGATAAGTCAGTCTGTAAACATTAATTAAGCACCTACTATGTGCCAGGCAATGTGCTAAGCTCTGGGGATACAAAGAAAGGCAAAAGACAGTCCTGCCCTGAAGGAGCTTACAGTCTAATAGGAGATACAACAAACGAGCTATGTAAAGGATAAATAGGACATAATCAACAGAGGGAAGGCACTGGAATTAAGGGGGATCAGGGAGATTTTAGCTGGGACTTGAAGTCAGGGAAGCTGGGAGGCAGAGATGAAGAAGGAGAGCATTGTATGCATGATAAACAGGCGTGAAACCTAGGTTCCAAGCCTAGGGGACTAGAGGAGTGGTAGTGCCACTCCTCTAGTAATAGGGAAGTTTGGAAGGGAGGAAGCTTTGGCGGGGGGAGATGATGAGTTCACTTTGGGACATAGTGAATTTGAAGATGTCTACAGGACATCCAGTTTGAGATGTCTAATGGATGGTTGGAGATAAAGAGACATGAGGTCAGCAGAGAGGTTAGGGCTAGGTAAAATAGATTTGAGAAGCATCAGCATAGTGATGGTAATTGAATCTGTGGGAACTGATGAGATCACCAAGTGAAATAATATAGACGGAGAAGAGAAGAGGGCCCAGCCTTTGTGAGACTCTCATGGATGAATACCCAGCCAAGGAGATGAAGGCTCAGTCAGATGAGTAGGAGGAGAATCAGTAGAGTTGTGTCCTCAAAACCTAGAGAGAATAGTATCAAGGAGAAAAGAGTGATTGACAGTGTCATAAGCTGCAGAGAGTTCAAGAAGAATGAGGACTGAGAAAAGGCTATTGAACTTGGTATTGTCAAGATCATTGGTAACTAGAGAGTGCAGTTTGGGTTGAAGGAGAAGATGAGAAGCTAGACTGTAAAGTGTTAAGAAGAGGGTGAGAGGATTGGGAAGGGAGGCACTTTCTCAAGGACTTCAGCCACAAAAGGGAGGAGAGTTTCTGGACAGTAGCGAGAATAGAAGGATTGAGTGAGAATTTTTTGAGGATGGAGGAGACATGGGCATGTGTGTAGATAGGAGAGAAGGAGCCAATAGACAGGGAGAGACAGAAGTTAAGTAAGAGCGTGGGGCAGATAGAGGGGACAGTCTACTAGAGAAGACAGGATGGAATGGGGTCGCTTGTGCATGTAGTTGGCCTTGGCCAAGTAAAAGGCTGCCTCATTACATGAGATAGGTATAAAGATGGAGAGAGTGGCAGAAGGCCTCAGAGTGATGTGGG